TTGATCTTGCTACTGAAAGAGTGTGGTTGTTACCCCCAGTGTTGGGGAACTGGAGAAGCGAGAGAGTTGGAGAGACAGAGAGCAGGACAGCAAGATGAAGCGTAGACAGACTAGAAAGGGAAACAGAGTGAGAAGAATGTAGAAGAATACAGGAGCAGGTGCCTGGAGAGAGAGAGAGACCAGGCTGCAAGATGGAGTGTGGACAGAAGAGTAGGAGAGTCAGGAAGAAACAGGAATGAGGACCAGTGTGAGACTAGAATGCGGAGCTCAGAGAGAGTGGAACAGGCGCGTGGGGAGAATGGAATAAAAGGCAACTGATCAATCAACCGGGTTGGCCCTCATTTGCTCCTCCATCAACCCAGGACATGGACCGGCCAGGGTGGGGGAGAGGCCCAAGCCGCTTCCAACTTAGCCAGTGAAGGGGAGAGCCCCTGGGTCTTCCCTAGCCGCCCGGAGATTACACAGGAGAGATTTTCCTTGCTCCACTCCAGGAGATGAAATCCTTTCCCAAAGATTCACCAATAAATATGCAAGGATTTGTTCTGGGCTCTGAATTTTATACAATTGGATTGAGAATTTATATTCCTGAGACTCATGGGATATTTTCTATAAATTCATGATATTCTTTAAAGCCTGTTCCCCAAGGGATGTCACAGGCCTCAGTGATGCCCCGTCAGCACTCAGTGATATCCCGTCAGTACTACTGCTATTTCTGCCAACCGACGTCTGGTACTCCCAGTTCCACTGTGAAAACACCACAGGCTTTTTGGCTGCCAGAAGTTACTAGAGTCACAGCCCTAGCTAAATAGTTTTTTGGGGGGAGGAACTTCACCCAATCCATGCCCTGACTACCGGGCATTTACATGCTCTGCTCCCACAGAGCACCAGGAACTTTGAAAACATAATTCTATTGTTTAATGGATGTGGACTGAATCCAGATAAGAACATCAGAACAACCGATGCTCTGTGGGTGTGCGTAGAGCAACAATCCTCTCAGTGCTCTCTGACCTGAAGAAAATATGGACAAGGAGACTTTGGAGTTTTAGAAAAGGAAGGAAACAATGATCACTGCCCTACAAACAGAACTGAATGAGAGAAAGAATAGACTCCACAGCTGAATGAGGAAACAAACAGAACTGAACGTTGTGGTTGTGTGTTGTGTGTGCATTTTGGCTACTGTACTTGGTGCTGCGTGAATACGACTATTATCACCTCCACTAGTTAATCCTTTTGGGTTCCGGGAGACAAAGAAATTAACCTAGGTTCATCTTAGTCTGAGGAGGAAGTGCTGAGCCCTGGTGACTCTCTGAGAAGGCAGTGGAGAGTGAGTTCAGAGTCGATTTTGTTTCACCTTGTGTTTGTGGAAGGAGGAATCACAACCTAGGACGTTTCTGTGTGCACAGAGGCTGAGTGAAGCCCTGAACTGTGAAGACACGTGAGGTGTGTCCTGACTCTGAACCTGCAATGACCCACCCACATTGGTTATAATTACATCTGAGGGGTCACTGACTCACTAGGTTGTTTCTGCACCCAACACTGAAGGTGATTTTGGTTTGTGATTTTGATCAGCCCATGACAAACGTTTTGTGTTTCACCTGAGTACAAACATATGGTCACTGTCTTCTTGTTTCAATTTCCTTCCCATAAACTATTTTGGATCAATGTGGAGCCAAAGTTTTTACTCATTTCATGCTTTGAGTTGTCAGCCACTTTTTTAATCACGATCATGATCACGACCATTAACATCTCCTTTGTCCTAGCCCAGAGATTCAAGACTCTTTCAGGGTTAGGAGAATGAGACCCTTCATTGTTACTGGTATTTGGCATATTGGGTACACCACGGGGAGTTTGCCAGACTCCGCCGTGTGCAGTTTACATTTGGTAGCATGCCAGTTACTTAATATGCCACTTTTTTAATATGGCCCAATTATAGTAAATGAAATGATGACCATTATCAAAAGACAACCCCAAAACTGGGGAAAAATATCTGCTAACTACTCATCTTATGTAGAATTAATAAAACTCACTACTTATCTTTTGTCACAATCACGATCATCCTGTTGTTCGTCAATTGCCTCGAGCAGACCCCAATAATATCTCCTTCATCCTAGCCCTGAGATTTTAAAAAGTGCCATATTCAAGGCCCTTTCAGGGTTAGGAGAATGAGACCCATCATTGTTGCTGGGTTTTGGCATATAGAGTACGCCACGGGGAGTTTGCCAGACTCTGCCATGTGGGCAGGTTATATTCGAAGCCTGCCAAGTTGTCCAAAGCAAGATGAGATAATAAGATGTCGCGGCCGCACACTTTCGGGAGCTGGGTTTTATAGTCTCTGGGTCTTGGCCATTGATGGGATTACATGGCGCCAGGGGGCCAGTTGGTGGGTGTGACCCCTGCCTACTGGAATATGGAGGATCTAGGTGGAGGATGCTCAGCCCCGATCTGAGCAGGCTTGGAAATCTCAGCCCCATGACCCGCATACCTTTGTTCCTCTGCCGGTACCTTCATGCGTGTGGAGAGTGGTCTCAGCATGGTTGTGGTTGGTTCTGGAGGTCTTCGGCTGCCGGAGCTCTGCTCGGGGAGGGGAGGGATACTCAACCCCCCCCACCCAGGTGTTCCCAGAGAGGACAGTAGGGTGCGGGGGCAGGAGACTTTTTGCTGTTCTCTTCCTGGAGCTGGGTTTTATAGTCCCTGTGCAAGACCCAGACACTTATCTTATGTAGGATTAATAAAATTTATACAAAGGACTTGAAAAAACTAAGAGAAAAATAAAGCCTATCTAAAAATGAGGTTTTAAACGTATATATCCTTAAAGTAGAATTTGAGGCAGAGAATGGTATAAACAAATTGTCTATATCACTTATCAGAAAAATGCAAATTAAAAAACTATTGAGATATCATCTCACACCAGGGAGAAAGGCACACATCACAAAGAACCAAAACATTCTGTGTTGGCATAGATGTGGGGGAAATGCAATCCTCATTCTCTGCTGGTAAAAATATCAACGGGATCAAACTCTTTGGAAAAATTTGGATACTGCACAATGTGCTAAAAATTTAGGTTCTATGTCACCCAGAAATTCCACTCTTGGCATCGACCCAAAGAACCCAAAACACTAATTGGAAATATATTTCCAAATTTTCTAAATGGACATGTCTATGTTTATAGCATCACAAGATTATATTCACAATAGCTTATTCTGAAACAACCTGAGTATATGAGAACAGATGACTGGATGAAATACAACACATCTACACAATGGAATGCTATACAGTCACCGGGAAAAATGAAACCATGAAATTTGCTTATAAAAGGAGGGAAGAGGAGGACTGGAGCAATAGCATCGTGGGTAGGGCGTTTGCCTTGCACGCGGCTGACCCAGGTTCGATTCCCAGCATCCCATACGTTCTCCCGAGCACAACCAGGAGTCATTCCTGAGTGCATGAGGCAGGGGTAACTCCTGTGCATTTCTGGGTGTGACCCCAAAAAAGGAGGGAAATGGAGAGTATCAGTCTGAGTGAAATGAGTCAGAAGGAAAGAGACAGATATAGAATAAATGCACTCTTCTGTGGGATATAAACTTTGGTATGAGATTAATATTCAATGACAGGAAACAGGGGACAGTGGGACGGATCAATGGTTGAAAGCTTGCTACAAGTGTGTGTTTTGTGAAGGACAGAGAAGGATCAATATGACAGGAATAGTTAGATATGATCACTGGATAAGAACTAAATGTAGAACAGTTGGAAAAGGGATATACAAAATAACGTTTCAGTGTCTGTATTGAAATCAATACACCTAAGAGGGAGACAGACAGAGAGACAAAGAGACACACAGAGAACCCATACAGGTTCCTAGGGATCAATAAAGGAGAAGGATGGCTCAAGTGATAATGACCAGATTCTGTAGTTGAGCTGTCATTTTCCTTCTTGCCATAATCCTGTGCCTCCCCTCTCTCTCTCCTTGCATATCTCTAAATAAATTTCTTTAGATAATCCTAATTTACTTCTCTGTCCATCCCCCTTTCTTACTATTCACAGAGAAACTGAAAGTAGTGAGTCTCTGAGTTACACTTGGTCAGGTTTTCCCTCCTGCTGGGTGGAAAGATGTTTTCCAGACTTCTAACATGTATGAACAGAAATCAGAACTCAAGGATTTTTTCCATTTGGAGAAGCCCAGGTACTCTCTTGAACACGGATCTCTCTTTCTCTCCATTTTCATTTCTCTAAGAAAATTTCTTTAAATAATGCTATTCTGCATCACTGAAAAAGTTAGAGTTCAAGTCATATGTTCCATTAAACTTCATTAATTCGATCATATTCATTATCTGTTTACTTATAGTTGCCCTACTAACACAGTTATAGAATAAACTTGTTAGCAGCTGTGTTAGACTCACGTCTGGTTTTTGAAAAGCTCTTTATTAATTTAAAACATATAATATATTTTTGTTTCTATTAAATTCTTTGGGCCAGAGCGATAGCATAGCAGGTAGAGTGTTGGCCTTGCACGCGGCTGACCTGGGCTCGATTCCTCCACCCGTCTTGGAGGGCCCGGCAAGCTACCGAGAGTATTCTGCCCACACAGAAAAGCCTGGAAAGCTCCTAGTGACATATTTGATATGCCAAACACAGTAACAGCAAGTCTTACAATGGAGACGTTACTGGGCTCCCTTGAGAAAATCGATGAACAACAGGAGGACAGTGCTATTAAAGTCTTTACTTAAAGACTTAAATCCTCTTTTAGTTTGACGTTTTTTACTACTTTTGTTTCAGTGAATTCAGGACAGAGTCTCATTTCCTCAAACAAGGATCAGAACGTGGACCCCTTCACTCCCCTTGATAATGGACCCGGTGACTTCCAACAGCCTCTTTTAAGGTTGGACCAGGTCTTCATCTATGAATTCTCATCCTCATGAATATGCAAATTATACGAGGGACACTGAGTTAAATACATATGTGTCTGTGTCCCGAGAACATCACACAGCCGACACAGCCACACCTTCAGAAGCCCCTGAGTGCACGGTCCCCACCATGGACTGGACCTGGAGAATTCTCTTCCTTCTGGCAGTGGCTGCAGGTAAGCGTCCCCATGCCTTGGGGTGAAGGAACAGTGCCAGTCAAGTAGAGTACACCCACTCCTGTCTGCTGTCCACAGGTGTGAACTCCCAGGTAGAGCTGGTGCAGTCGGGGGCTGAGGTGGGAAAACCTGGGACATCAGTCAAGACCTCCTGCAAGGCATCTGGATATACCTTCACCAACTACTACATGCATTGGGTGCGGCAGGCCCCGGGACAAGGGCTCGAGTGGATGGGAAGTATATACCCTAACTCTGGTGCTACATACTATGCACCGAAGTTCCAGGGCAGACTCACACTCACTACAGACAAGTCCAAGGACACAGCCTACATGGAACTAAGCAGGCTGAGCACTGAGGACACGGCCATGTATTACTGTGCGAGTGACACAGTGTGACAACCACATCCTGAGTGTGTCAGAAACCTGAGGGGGAGGCAGCTCTGCCGGGTGAGGAGATGACAAGGGAGGCTGATCCTCCTGACTTCCTCCTCAGAGAGTCAGGGTCTGAGACACAGAATGGGGCTCACAGGGCCAGGCTGCATTTGAGGGAAAGGCTCAGGATCTCTCTCTGTCCTTCAGCAACAGCCAAGATGAAGATGGCTTCTCTCTAGAATACCTGCAGTTACTCATATATTCTTGTTGGATTGTACACTGGTGCTTCCCAGATGCTAGAGGAAGAATCACTTTTAAGGATTTGCGGGGGGCTTAGCAGGTTCTTGGACTGTTTCCTCAAGAACAGTCCTTCACTCCTGTTTCATGTGTGGCTGAGCTCCTTGTGTTTCACACTTGTCATAGGAGCTAACACATGTCAGTGTGTGCTGGGACCATTGTAGATTAGGGACCATAGCTCCAGCTCCAGCAATATCTTTGATTATTCTACATTTTAGGGCAAAAGAAAGTTGTTCTTTGGAAAATTTAAGTGGACAGAGTTCTATGCTGAACTTCATTTCCTCTTCTCAGCATCACACAGGTGGCACTTGGCAGGATATGGGACACAGGACACCAGCTGTGGGGAAGAGTGACCCAAGTGCATCAGAGTCATTTCCTGACCTCATTTCTGTGGTTTGTGCCTGAAAATACAGGGACATTCCTGGGACTAATGTGTAAAGTAAAGTAAAGTAAAGGCCCTCCCGTTGATCATCGATTTGCTCGAGCGGGCCCAGTAACGTCTCCATTGGAGACTTTGTTGTTACTGTGTCTGGCATATCGAATACTCTGTAGCTTGCCGGGCTCTCCGAGAGGGGCGGAGGAATCGAACTCCGGACTAATGTGTAAAATAGAAATAATCCAAGCATCTAAATATGCACATATTCATCTGCTATGTGCCAACAGAAAATCCTTTTCTCTAAGACGGAATCCAGGTATTGGGAGATCCTTTCTGAGAAGCTGTGGGTGAGGTCCCGTGTGCGTATTTGCATCTCTGTATTCCTGAGCTGGAATCTCGCCACTGGACACTGGGAGTGGAGAAGGTCACACTAGGCTAATGGCCACGGTCAGAAGTCAAGGGCCACATGGTTTTGTGTAATGAGAGCTTGTCCGTGTCCTTTCCCAACTTTGCTGTGACTTTCCTCTGTGACCATGATGCAGTAGCATGAAATGTGCGTGACTCTCCATCTGTCCTTGTGACCTCTGACCTTGGAAGAATCATGTCTGTGCTGAGGAGAAGCTTCACTCGGAGAGTGCAGAGACACCAGGGGAATGTGTGCAGAGGAACTGATCCCTGAGGGGCAGCAGCAGTGGTTCCTGAGCAAGGTTAAGGGGACCCTGTTGGCAATGCCAGAAACCAGCGCCTCCATCTGAGGAGAGGTGGCACCTTAATTCACCTGCCGTAAAATCCTTAGGTGAATGAGACCAGTTGTAGTTACAATCGACCATATCCACATGATAACCAAATTCATTAAGGTTTCTCGGGAGTTCAAGATGCCGCCCTGTTTAACGTTCATTGATTTAAAGAAGGCTTTTGATTCTGTTGAGACGGAAGTGGTTATTGAAACCCTAGCCAATCAGAGCATTCAAGCCCAATACATCAAGATCCTCCGTGAGCTGTATTGCGGATTCACTACCAGGATCTCACCATTCTACAAAGAAGTGATCGTTGATGTCAAGAGATGGTTTTGGCAGGGTGATACCATTTCACCGAAACACTTCAGTGCCACCCTCGAGAACATCATGCGACGACTGGAATGTGAACGAATGGGAGTGAAGATAGATGGTCGGCAAGTACACCACCTCCGCTTTGCTGGTGGCATTGTTTTAATAACACCAAACATCAGCCAAGCGGCACAAATGCTGGCCAACTTTGACCGTGAGTGTGGAAAGGTAGGACTACAGCTGAATCTTACGAAGACAATGTTTTTGAGAAACATCCTCGTTCCTGATGCCCCATTCGCTCTCAACGGAACTACCATCTCCGAATGCAACAGCTATGTATACCTAGGTCGAGAAGTCAACATGACAAATGACCTGGAACCCGAGCTGCGCAGGAGGAAGAGAGCGTCTTGGAACACCTTCAAGAACGTCGAAGAAATAGCTAAGAGGATGAAGAACCTCCGGCTCCGGACACATCTCTTTGATTCTACTGTTCTTCCTGCATTAACATATGCCTCAGAGACCTGGGCCCTACGCAAACAAGATGAGAACGCTATTCAGGTCTCCCAAAGAAGAATAGAAAGAGCTATGCTTGGAATATCACGTTTCACTCAAATGCGAGAAAAAATCCGGAGTTCGGACATCTGTCAACGATCAAGAATCAGGGACGCTGTCTCATTTGCCAAGGTGTCAAAAATCAGTTGGGCTGGTCACGTACTGAGATTTAAAGACGACCGCTGGACTAGAACTGTTACTGACTGGATTCCACGGGATGTCAAAAGACTGCGTGGCCACCCACCTACCAGATGGTCAGATTTCTTCGTCAAGATCATGAACGATCATTTTGAGGCGCTTCATGTTCCCAGAGCGAACAGATGCCATTGGGCTACACTAGCACGCGACAGGGACAAATGGAGAAGTTACTGGCGCCCCCTCGAGCAAATTGATGACTAATGGGAAGTTAAGTGATTAAGTGATTAAAATCCCTAGGAAATAAATGCCATTTATTGAGCCAGATTTGGAAGTATTTTGAGATGCAAAATGAATAACCAAATAATTCCACTTGGTATCTGTTGGCAGAGAGGACAGATACTGAGGGAGAAATGCCTGGACTCTTAACATTAAAATTAGCCTGGTTTTAAGAACCTAAAGAAAAGTGACAAAACCCAGAAATAAAAACTAGAGAATCGGCGGGTGTAGCAATAAGCACAGAGGATAGGACTTTTGCCTTGCATGCGGCCGACCCAGGTTCGATTCCCAGCATCCCATATGGTCCCCCAACCACCACCAGGAGTAATTCCTGAGTGTATGAGCCAGGAGTAACCCCTGTGTATAGCCAGGTGTGATCCAAAAAGCAAAAACAAACAAAGAAAACCCTAGAGAATCGGTAATTTGAGAAATAAGCACATCTTCCATTAGCCCATGGAGACTCCATGAAGATATGTTAGAGGCCACGGGACGAGCTGCCACATGTCTGTTTGCCCACAGTCTTCCTGGACATCTGGGGGAAGCAGAAGATGTAGTATTAGTTTTACTTATTATGCTGTCCCTACATCTCAATATTTCCCTTTGAAATATCCCCAAATTACATTAGTAGTGGTGAATTAACAATTTATGAATCAGGGAACTGGGCTCAGAGCCCCCACAGTGACACCCTTTGTTCCCTCTCCAAGGGGAACATTGCCCACCCACAGCCCTACTGATTCTTATACAACCCTGTTAGAATTTTATTCCAAATATGGGCACAAATCTGTTCCAACAGAGGCCAAGAAGATCAAGAAAACAAAGACCCTAACTCAGGGCCAGCTTCGAGAACATGTGTGCCAACACAAATCTATGACAGGCAAAGGAACTTTCACAGGGGGTCAATTCCAGAAATGAAGCTTCTGTGACTGTTTCTGATGCACTTTTCCTGTCTGTGCCCCCAAACAGACACCTATGTGGGTCCCTGGATATTAAGCTGCTGCTTACTATGGTGCAGTATCTCAGTCTACCCTCATTTCTTTCTCTGTACATGGAGCCAATCTCAGATGTCACCCGGAATTCCCCAAGTTCTCAAGGCAACAACCACTGTACTCGTCATCTTAAAGTTCTTACTCATTCCTAATCATGTAATACATTTTCCTGGGAGACACTAAAACAATAACACAATGCTGGACTGGAGCAACTAGATAATGGGGTGGAAATTTCCATAATGACATAGTGGAATGAGACCAGATGAAGTTACTGGTTTAACACGTTGTAGTTACTGAGAAAGGAGATGCCGAAAAAATCTCAAGGCCGAACTAGGCTGCCACAATGAAGGAAGACAAAAATGATCGTCTGTACGTCTACGCACCAACATCTCATTATGATGAAAGAGAAATCGAGAAGTACTACATGGAGCTGGAGAAGTTCTATAAAGAACTGTAACTTAGGATGAGCATGGGGGTTTTAGAAACTAGCTGTTTCCAACATGCCAGTGCATCTTGCAGCAACACTGAGTGCTGTCTACTTAGTGTTTTTGTCCTATATTACAAGAAATATCTGGGAAAATAATGCTCTCTTAATTGCTTCAGACAGTATTAGCCCAAAGAGACAAAGAATGAACCAAAATTTATTTTACAGATGCTGAATTTTAGTGTCCATTTTGAGAAGCAATCTAAAACTTGTTTCTTTGCAGAAGAAAAACACAAAATGCTACCCTTCATTCTAGAGTTATTATCCTTCTTTGTGTCTAAGACCCAAGGTAGTATGACCTATCATTTAGCTTAGTAGGCAGAACTATTCTATTCTGGCCAGTTGAAAAAATTATCAAAACTATAAATGTTGTGTCTGGAGCAATAGTTCAGCAGATTCTCTCCCTGACAACCCATATCATCCCCTGAGCACTGCAGGTTTGATCCCTGAGCACAGAACCAGGAGTAAGCCCTG